AAAACGCATCCAAAATCTAATTTACACAATAATTTTAGAGATTTTAACATTATTTAATTTTTCAAAAAATCACATCAAATATTAATTTAAAAATAGTAAAAAGAAAATAAAAATATTGTAATATTTTATAAGATATATATATATATATATTTAAAGTACCAACATTCATGTACCAAAGAATAGCACAAACACACCATAATTTCACTTCAAAATTAAAGCTTTACCAACTTAAAGAAGCCTTCGGACTACTCTCGTGAAGATTTTATCAAAAATAAATTGAAGAAAAATTTGTCGAACATAATGTTAAAAAAGGCAAGGAAAGGAGTAACAATTGAAGGAAAACAAAAATAAAAATAAAAATAAAAATAAAAACAATACAATATAAAAGAAGGCAAAAATAACTTGAATGATATTTGAGATAAGAGGAAATGAAAACAATACAAGATAGAAGAAAAAAAAAAGGATTAAGAAAAAATAATTTGTGCTTGTATTGTGGCCGTATTCTTCTCCCCAAATCATCTTCTCATTAAATAGTTGTTTAATATAAATTTGATTTATGTTAAAAAAAAAAATAGTTTAAAAAAGCACAATTAAAGATAAAATCTCATAAGTAAACATACATGATTTCTCAATTATAATTCACCTCTTGTAACTTCTTTACTCTATGAAGCATCATCTCATTGATTATTTTTGTATCATCAAATTATTCATTTTTTTTTTCAAAACATACCAAATTAAATATTTATTTTTTATTTATCATATTACACTAAACATTAATTTTATATTTAAAATATAATGTCAATTCCTATTTATATCACATAACAAATAACTATTCAAATCAAAATTCAAAATCAAATCACCCAAACAAACACACCCTAAAACAATAGTGAAATATGCAACAATACCTAGGAATATGTTATGTACTTGATAAATTATATATTATAATATATTTTGTACATTAATTGCAAATATAATTCATTTGGATGAAAATCTACTCATTTATGATCCGATTATTGATTGGTGCTAGGATGCTGTGATTTGAGCGATGCATGTCCATTCTTCGGATCAAAGATTAAAGGAATTGTGAACAAGTGTTATAGAAATTTTATAAATGAAGAGAATTGATTGCTTGTGCCAAGAAAAGTTATTAAAATTGATGAATTATGAAGATTGAGGCGCGATCATACTTATAGAGATAATGCGATTAAAGGAGTTGATGGAAGACTTGTTCGTCTATAAAATGATGGATCTTGGAAGAATCATAAAAAAATCAAAATCATAATTCATACCTTGAGTTGGAGGATTGAGGGAGACAGTTGGAGAGAAAGAGTAACAGGAAGATCACCGTTATCATAATTTTATCGCTTTTTATTTATTTTTAGTTATAAATAGCTAATTTTCTAGTTCTAGTTCGATGTTTAAATTTAGATTTTGAATTTGTATTTGTGAAATTATATTTTGATTTGAATTGAATCTTGTTAGTAAATTGATATTTGTGCAATTTCGGTGATCTATGTCTACAAATGCTTTATGTAATATTTTATCGCGATCGGATTTTAGATTGATTCAAAAATTTTGTGCCAATCAAACATTCACATCCGTAATAGTGTAGTTGTTTGATGAAGTGATAAATAGGTTGACAAATTTGGTCTAGAAATTGCATAATCGAATAATTTAATCTTTTCGTAATTGATTGAATATTCTAATTGTGTTTTTCTCATGCTATTTTAAATTGAAAAAATTATTCTATGGTCATACGGGCACGATAATTATATCGAAGGTTTATAATCAATTTATCAATTGAATAACATGGTTATTTTAAATCGATGATCGAATTCTTAATCTGATTTCTTATTCATTCATTGTACTATATGTTTAATCTACATAATTCTTATTCTTCTCGCTTTATTTTTGTTGAGATATTTTAGATACTCAGATTTAGTAGATTTATATCTAGATTTGATCTTATTCATAGATTAGATTACTTAGATTTGAGTCTATCGAGTCTATTTTGTATGACCTATATATAGGCTCTTTATTTTGATGATAATAACACAATCTCATTATTTTCCCCCAAAATTTCTAAACATGGTATCAGAGCTATTTTCCTAATGTCGTAGATATAGCCTATCAATATGTGTTTCTCCGGGTACGATCTGTCATATGTCCGTTGTCTGTTTGTTGTTGCGTGCGATCTGAAACGATCTGTCATATGTCCGTTGTCTGTTTGTTGTTGCGTGCGATCTGCCATTTGTTGCTGCGTGCGATATGCCATATGTTGCTGCGTGCGATATGCCATTTGTCGTTGCCTGTCTGTTGCTGCGTGCGATCTGCCATTTGTTGTTGCATGTCTGTTGTTGCGTGCGATCTGCCATTTGTCGTTGCATCTCCGGTAGTCATATGGTTTTCGGCTCCGGTGGATCGTCATCTCGTTTTTCGGCTCCGGTGGAGTCATCTCGTTTTTCGGCTCCGGTGGAGTCCTGTCGTTTTCGGCTCTGGTGGAGTCATGTCATTTTTTTTGCTCTGGTGGAGTCCTGTTGTTTTCGGCTCCGGTGGAGTCATCTCGTTTTTTGCTCCGGTGGAGAGTCATCTCGTTTTTTACTCCAGTGGAGAGTCATCTCATTTTTTGCTCCGGTGGGTGGAGAGTCAACTGCTAATTTTATTTATGTTTTCTTTTTGCGTTTATATTCAAATTTCTCGTCAAACTCAAGTTGGTTTCTGTTATACCACTTGAGTTTGAGGGGGGATGTTGAGATATTTTAGATATTCAGATTTAGTAGATTTATATCTAGATTTGATCTTATTCATAAATTAGATTACTTAGATTTGAGTCTATTGAGTCTATTTTGTATGACCTATATATAGGCTCCTTATTTTGACGATAATAACACAATCTCATTATTTTCCCCCAAAATTTCTAACAATTTTAGTTGGATTTTTTTTACGTTTCCTCATCTCAATACTTAAATTTGTGAAAATACATATATTAAATTGCAGAGTTCCTGTGAATCGATTTAAACACCACTTTATATACTATATTTTCCGGTGTTAAAGATAATTTAATTGGAAGATCCAAAATATGGATGTCAACGAGTCGGGTTTGGGATGGGTTCTGCAGGGCCCGGAACCTGCCCCGCTATAAAATATTAGGCCCCAAAACCCGCCCCGCCCAACTTCAGCCTGGTCCTAGGATTCGCCCCGCCCCAAACCCTCAGGGTTCAAAGCCAATCCGCCAAACCCGATTTTTTAAATAAAATATAATTTAGTTTAATAATTTAATACTAAAAAAATAAGTGTTAAAATACTAAAAAAAAATTAGTTCTAAAAACAAGAACAATTAAATATTGGCGGTCGTTCGCTGTGATGGCGGTTGGAGACAGACGAAGTAAATTTTTAGTTAAAAAATAAGAACAATCAAATGTTGACAGTAGTCCGCAGTGATAGCAGTCGGCTATAGGTGAGGCGAAGACAGTAGTCCTGATTATGAAGAAAATTGAGAACAAAATAAAAGCCAAGACAAATTTGATTTAAAAATTAGAATTCTAATTTATATTTAATTTTTTAAAAATAAATATGTAATATAATTTATATTATATAAATATATATATTAATTTTAATAATTATTAAAATATTCGGGTTCGGATCCAGGGTGAGACGAATTTTTAGTAAAATCCGTAACCCGTCCCCGTACCCGGCCGGGTTTAAAACTGAAAACCCACAAACAGACCTGAAACATATTTTTTAGACCCGAACTCACCCCGAAACATATTTTTTAAACCCGAATTCGCCCCGAAGCAATTTTTAGACCTGATTTCGCCCCATTAAAAGCGGTCCGGAGCTAACTTTCCCCATTTTGACATCCCTAATCCAAAAGCTACCAATTCTTATATAAATAATAAAAAAAAAGATATGCAACTTTTTATTTTTTATTTTTTATTTTTTTAATCACAATATATGCAACTTACCTTATAGATTAATGAAGTTTCATATATATAAAAAAGGCTAATGGTTGTATTTCTGGCAAAAGGCTGCCATGGTATGCTAATTATATGGGCTTTTGTAGCCTAACTCAACTCGTAATTGATAATCATAATAAAATTGACTCACTTTTTATATCAGCCTACCTGACCTGACTTAGCTCAACTCCTTTAATCCTAATCCAAACCCTTAGCTCAATTCTTTAGCCCATTTGTTAGTTTTTTTTTTTATTCGAAAACACTGAAAGAAAATCGTATATATAATTTACCCTAGAGTCAGTGATCCATGTGTAATTTTTGCCCATTTGTTAGAGTTGTTGTAACAGTGTGAAGTCTCATTAGAGATACAAGTTAGAGTGAGAAACAGAGATGAGAGTGAGAGGGTGAGACATTGCTATACCATACCAATTATATTCCGGCGAGTTTTTCCGATGAGTTTGTCCCAATCACCGGAAAAAGAAACAAGAAAGAAGACAAGAAATAGATCGAAAATGAGCAGGAGGCATCATCAGAGTTGGGAGTCAAGCAGTGGTTGTTCCAAGTTGTTTCGGAGGAGATCGATGCTTGTTTCAGATTATGCCTTTGATTATTCTTATTTCAATTCTAATCAAATTGAGCTTCCGACAATTAATTCTAATATTTTTGTTTATGAAGTTATTCCAAAAGCTCGTCGTTTCTAGATATAAATTCACAACACTAACAAAAGGGCTACTAACACCATGGAGAAAAGTTTATCATGCAATGATCTGTCTGTATGTTGTCTAAAAGTTTATTAGTAGTGATCAACTTCAATCCATGCAGAAAAGATTTACAGACAAAATCATGGAGGAGAAACATGGTTATCTTCACTTGTAAGTGAAGGAAGGAAGATATATACATATATATATATCTATCTATCTATCTATAAGACAAAAACAAATTATGTCTTCATCAAAGAGGGACCTTGCTGTGAAACATGGCTATTTGGACTTACATATGCAAACAACAACAACAAATATCTGATCTAAGATCAGCAGATCACCATTACCATCCAAAATGCTCTTTCTATTCATATATGTCAAATTAATTCAACACTTAATTTGCAATATAATTTGCAAGAACATTATACACATTACAGAAAGCAGCTAGCTAGGGATCCAACAACAAAAAACACATACTGACATAACAGTTAATCAAAAGAAGAATTCACAACCAACCAACCAACCAATCGATCGAGGAATATAATAAAATTTAAAATTAAATTCAGACCTGATCTTCCTTCCATCCCCATTGATCATATTCAGTAGCCTCTGGCACACCTCGTGATAATCTCACAACCTCTGTTGTAAGAATTGGCCACAGCAGGACCTGCCTTGCAATTGTAATACGAAGCCCCAGGCCTATTACAGGGCACCAAATCCCTCAATAGCGTCGCGTAGCTTATGTACCTTCTCTGCATCACCAAAACCCTCCGACTGCTTTCCGAATCCATAATTTCCTCGCAATCGCCGGAGCAAAACCCTCTCGGCGCCGCCATTGCAGCCTCCTCGCCAGATCTCAAGGAATTGCAGATTTTCACCCAAAGAAGCAGCGCCGCCAGGAGGCAGGCGGAGAAGCGCCGGAGCCGAATTTGGGGCATTTTGGATTTGGGGTAGAAGAAGGAGAAGAAGAAGAGGAGGGAGAGTGTGGTCTGTATGTATGTGGACAATATGGTCAGATCAGTGAAGAGAGTGAAAGCTATGTATTTAAACCGGCCGGTCTGCTTTCAAACATACGTGAACCGGCCTATTGTCCGGTTCTATTTTTATTTTTCTTAAATGAACAAATAAAAATAAATAGATTAGAATTAGTATAAAAATAATTAATAAAAATATATAGATTTGTTAGTACACGTAATACATTACTTTATCCGATGCTTTTACTTTTTTTTTTTTGTATCGAGGTTTGCTTGTCTATAAATATAAATTTGAATGAAATGAAATGAACATACTCTATTTTAGTCTCAACTATTCTAAGTATAAATTATTAGTATTATATAATATTATATGTACTCTAATGCACACACATCGCAGTTTTACATATATAATATATATATTTAAATAGAATACAAGCTGCACACATACATATAATATATTTATAGTATATTATATTTTTACGTACAATATATAAAATAGTGGTTAGCGGTAGAAATAATTAATATTTTTATTGACTAATCATATACTACTATTACAACACGTTATCAGTACAATTATATATTTTAATTTCCACAAGGTAATATTTTATATTTTATCTCTTTATTATGACTAACCTTGCCAAACATGAATTTCTCCATCTCCTGATGTTAAAATGCATTTGACATCAATGGGCTTGGAAAATACCATTGTCCGGGATAAAAATTCCTCGAGCCAAGATCGTGCAAAGGCCATGATTTTTTTGTGTCATCACATCGATGGTGCACTGAAAATGCAGTATGTGACATTGAAATCTCCACTTGAATTGTGGAAAAGATTGAAAGAAAGATATGATCACTTGAGGCCGTCTTTATTGCCAAGGGCACAAAGCGAATGACAAAGTCTACAACTTCATGACTTTAAAAAGTCCAATAACATAATTCTGCCATATTTATAATAACATCACAGTTGCGCCACTGTGGCGAAAATATATCTGAATCTGATACGATGGAGAAAACTTTCTCCACTTTGCATACCTCTAACATGGTTTTGTAGCAGCAGTATCGCGAAAGAGGCTTTCAGAAATATTCTGAGTTAATCACTTGTCTTTTGTTGGCCAAACAAAATAACGAATTGCTGTTAAAAAATCACGAATCTCGGCCGACAGGTGCAAATCCATTTCCAGAGGTAAATGCAATACAACCGGCAAATCCGGTGTGTGGCCGTGGGCAGGTCATAAATCAATGAATTGATCCGATCGAAATCAAAATCGCGGACGGGGCCGGACAAACACAAGCAGTCACAATAATTATCAAAACATGTCCCGATTGATGAACTTATTGTTCATCCTACTTTTTGTACATTAATTGTGCGTATTGACTATAATTTTGGATAGTTCCTACTAATTTATGATTGAATTTGATTTTATATTTGGAATAGAAGAAATTGAAGATATTTGCAAAAAATTCAGATTCTCGCTTTAATTTAAACATACCCATGCCTAGAGACAATTTGGATAAGCCAAGACTTGAAAGATAAAACTAGAATTTCGCATCAAGAGAGCAAAATAATAATAATAAAAAATATATTCAAGCTATCCTAGGGCTGCACACGGCATTTTAACATCAAGGAGGAGAAAGAAATTAAAAAATCATCTTGGCAAGAAAGCAAGAACGCGTGCGACGACTGGAGCGATCAAGACGGCTGTGCAACTCTTCTTCGTCTTCTTTCAAGTAGAATTTATTTGTTTTCGATTTTTAGTCATGTTTAGTAGCTAATTTCTTATACTAGTATAAGGGTGGATTAAATTCTTGGATTATGGATTTGTGAGATAGTTTTGGTTTTAATCGAATCTTTCAATTAATTGGTATTTGTGCAATTTATGTGTACCGTGTTTACAATCATTAGATTCGATTCATTATTGTGGCCAAATTTTAAGTATGTTTATTGATTGTGTGATAATTGAATAACTGCATCCGTAATTATGTATTTATTCGATAAAATAGTAATTAGGTTAACGCGCTTAGCCTAAGAATTATTGCATGATCAAATAAGAAATCTTTCGTAATTGATTAATTATTTGAATTGGATTTTTCTTGAGTTTAATGCAATTGGAGAATTTTTACTAAGGCCGTACCTAGTTTAATTCTTTCGATTAGAGAGTGGTCAATTGGCCGTCCCGTTGCCACCGATAAAGTTAAGAAAAATTGGGTGTTCGATCGTATCAAACACCTATAACGAATTTATCAATTGTTTGATTAGATTATTTAATTCGATGATCAGATCCATTATCTAATTTTTCATCTAACCCTTGGACTAGAGCATTCTACTTCTTGATAAATTCATGTTTATTTTCTTCTTTAATTAATTGACTTTAATTGATTTAGTTGAATTTTCTTAGGATAGCTATTTTAATTCTTGAAATCTTTACCCCAATTTTAAATAAATAATCAACTAAAGAACACAATCGAAGTCTCTGTGGATCGACCTTGTTTTCGTTACTCTACAATTGATTAAGAAACAGGTAATTAATTTGATTGACAGTCTATGCATGTCAATTTTTGGCGCCGTTGCAGGGGGGACTGGTTTGATCACTGTTACTTTTGTTGATATATTTATTATTTATTATTTCATTTATGTTTGGTTTGGTTTATGCCTCGATCTTCCCGTTTAGGAAATTTGATATACGACTTAGAGATCAAAAAACTAGCAAGGAAGTTAAAGAAAGAAACTAGAAAGAAACTGGAATCCGACAGAAGCTCCAACACACAGTCAAGTAGTTCCTATTCTTCTGACGAGGACAACGATACTATTATGGCTAGAGAAGATCTTATGACACTCAGGGAGTTGGCAGCTCTGAATTTAACTCGAGAGCCTCTCTGCATTACTTTTCCTGCGATTGATGATACTATTAGATTTGAACTGAAATATGGATTGATTCACTTACTACCGTCTTTTCATAGTCTTGCAGGTGAGGAGCCTCACAAGTATCTACGTGAATTTGACGTTGTCTGCTCGAGCATGAAACCAACAGGAATCACTGAGGAATAAATCAAGTTGCGAGCATTCCCTTTTTTCCTTAAAGGATGAAGTGCAAGACTGGTTGTACCATCTCCTACCAGGAAGCATAACTTCATGGGCTGACATACAGAGAAATTTTTTGGAGAAGTATTTCCCAGTGTCTCAAGCTGCAACATTGAGGAATGAAATCCGTGGGATTAAACAACAACCAGGTGAGACATTACATGAGTACTGGGAGCGATTCAACTGTCTGTGTGCAAGGTGTCCTCAACATCAGATATCTGAGTAGCTACTTATCCAGTACTTCTACAAAGGCCTCAGTTGGGCAGATCGAAGAAACATTGATGTTGCGAGTCAAGGGGGATTAGCTGATAACTCTACCTCCGTCCTATCTGACAGTAGCTGTCTAAGCTAACTACGATTGTGCGCCAATTGGTGGTTGGTCAGACTCAGTAAGTTAGAGCATGTGGTATTTGCACGAGTATAGAACATCCTACTAATTCTTGCCCTAAGCTTCAAGAAGGCAACCTTGCAGAACTAAATGCAGCCGGATTTGCGCAAGCGCCCTACAAGCAGTACAAGCCGTTCTTCAATACATATAATCCTGGGTGGAAAGATCATCCCAATTTGCGGTATGGGAATCAGCCGCAAGGGTTCCAAGCACATGCGCCAGCGTAACAGATATATCGTCCACCACCCCCACCACACCAACCTGCTGCATCATCAGGTATGTCTTTAGAGACATGGTTAAGACCATGGCTGCTAGCACTTTGCAATTTCAATAGGATACGAAGACTAACATACAAATTTGGAAGCGAAAGTGGAACAAGTAGCCACTGAGGTACGTTAGTTGAATGAGCGAGTACAAGGAAAATGGTCATCCCAAGCTGAAAAGAATCCAAAGAATGTGAACACGGTGACTCTTCAAACCGGTAAGGTAGTGGAGAGTCCCAAACCAGTGGTTCCAAAGGACAAAGATGAAGAAGCCATTGAGAAGGAGATTGAACAAGAAGACATAAAAGCTGACGAGGTACATTCTGAAATCCTTTTCAATACAAAGTCTAACGAAGCACCTTTTTCTTTCAGGTTGGTGAAGCCAAAGAAACTAAGTAAGGATAAAGAAATTTTGGAGGTTTTCAGAAAGGTGGAGTTTAGCATACCATTGTTATATGCGGTTCGCTAAATCCCCAAATATGCAAAATTCTTGAAGGACTTATACATTAACAAGAGAATGATGAAGGAAGACGAGTGCATTATCGCCAATGAAAACATTTATGCGGTCTTACAAAAAAAATTCCACCAAAGTGTGGTGATCCAGGTATGTTATCAGTTTTTTGCAAGATAGAAAATTTAGAAATAAAAAGAGCCATGCTAGATATAGGAGCTGCGATATATGTGTGCCTAAATCAATCTATAACTTCTTGAACCTAGCACCTTTAAAGAAAACAAGAATTGTGATTCAATTGGCTAATAGAACTAATACGTACCCTGAAGGACTTATATAAGATGTTCTAGTTTAAGTCAATGAATTAATTTTTCCTGTCGACTTCTATGTGTTGGATATGAAAGATGAGAATTCACCTAATCCTTCACCCTTGCTCTTAAGAAGACCTTTTATGTGTACAATTGATGTTAAAATTGATGTGAAATAATGAACTTTCACGGTGGAGTTTGATAGAGAAAATATTAAGTTTAACATTTTTGATGCAATGAAATATCCTACAGATACTCACTCCTTGTTTTTTTATAGATGTTATTGAGACTGACGTGCAGGATAGTCTTGAGCTGAGACCCTCCGATGCGTTGCAAGTGGTGTTGGCGAATCATATAGGTCTTCATGAGGCTCATGACCCCATGATAGATGCTAGATTGTAAAGGATGATGCATGCTTTAGGAGCCGTTCCACTAACTCCAGAAAGGTATGAACTTGCTCCATTATTTTTGCCTAAAACTGATCAACATTTGTTACCATCTATTGTGTAGGCACCAGAGTTGAAAATGGAATCACTGCCGGATCACTTGAAGTATGCCTACTTAGGGGAGAAGGATACTATTCTGGTTATCATATCATCAAATCTTACATCCGACCAAGAGCTCAACTTGATCCAAGTCCTGAATAATCACAAGGAGGCTCTAAGATGGACGATTGCAAACATCAAAGGTATAAGTCCATTTTTTTGTACTCACAAGATTACTCTTGATGAATGAGCAAAACTAGTCCGACAAGCACAAAGAAAGCTCAATCCAATAACGACTCAAGTGGTGAAGAATGAAGTCATGAACCTTTGGGATGTTAGCATAATCTATCCAATTGCTGATAGCCAGTGGGTGAGTCATATCCAAGTGGTGCCGAAGAAGACACGGATAACTGTGAAGGGGAATTAAGATGGTGAGATGGTTCTTGTTCACAACCAAACAGGATGGTGGCAATGTGTTGATTATCGTAGGCTGCTGTAACAAAAAAAAAAAAGATCATTTTCCTCTTCCTTTTATTGACCAGATGACTGAAAGGTTAGTTGGCATGCTTACTATTGTTTTTTAGATGGAATTTCATGATACTTCCAGATAGCAGTAGCACCAGAGGATCAGGAGAAAACGACATTCACATGCCCCTTTGGTATTTTTGCGTACAAGAGGATGCAATTCGGATTATGCAATGCCCCTGCAACTTTCTAGAGATGTATACTGAGTATTTTCTCTGAGTATATTGAGAAAATCATTGAGGTATTTATGGATGATTTCAGTGTTTATGGTGATAGTTTTGAAAATTGTCTTGATAACTTAGCTTTGATCTTGAAAAGATGTTGTGAGGTTAATTTGGTATTAAACCGGAAGAAGAATCAATTTATGGTCAATCAAGGTGTGGAATTACATCCAAGGGGGACTATTGTACATGTAATACACACGAATGTGCTACGTTGCCGATATGTATGCTTTTACTTTCCTTCGTATTGAGGTTTTCTTGTCTATAAATATGAGTTTGAATGAAATAAAATGAGCAGACCTCCATTTTAGTCTCAACCATCTATTCCCTTTATGTATGGATTATTAGTATTATATAATATTATATATATACACTAACGCACACACACTGCAGGTTTACATATATATATTTACATGGAATACAAGTTGCACACATACATATAATATATTTACATGTACAATATATAAAATAGTGGTTAGCAGTAGAAATAATTAATAATTTTATTGGTCAATCTTATATTAATATTACAACAAGATTAGATATATATAATATTCCTTCATACAAATATTTATTTCATTTTTGATGAATTTTAATATGATGTTCGTTTTTTTTAAAGTAAAAAATAAAAAATTGGTAAAAAAATGCGGGTTGTGTTTGTTTTCTATTTTGGTTTGAAGAAATTCTTTTAACGTACAATATAAAAAATTGTGTAGATAATATAAAAATAAAAAATATATATAGTATATCAATTTTTTTTTTAAAAGAAAATATGTTGAAAATTATTTTGAAAAGAAACAAATAAGCTATGTTTTTAATATTTTTTTTTTTATGACAGAAAAAGTAGTATGTATAAATATATACTTGTATATAAATTTATATATGGATTTATGAATATTGTATAGAGAAGTCTTGAGAGATTGAATGGATGAGAAATATTTTCATTCACTATACTTTATTTGTACAAATATCTTATATTTACCGGTAATTGATCGAATTTATTATACATTGATTTAATCATTCTTTAGAAGGTTATTGATAAATAAAATTGTGATGAAATATGTTTGTTTTAATATATATATATATATATTTAATTAAGTAATTTTCATTCACTATACTTTGTTTGTACAAATATCTTATATTTACCGGTAATTGATCGAATTTATTATACATTGATTTAATCATTAGGTTATTGATAAATAAAATTGTGATGAAATATGTTTGTTCTATTTGTCTTTAATATATATATATATTTAATTAAGTAATGCAAGCTGCATTTTATTCATATATAATTGTTGAGAGAATTTTGTTTTCAAATATTAATCAATGATTCTTTTTGATATAATTGATTATTGACCTTAACAAAAAATATTTTTAACTGATTTTATAAATAGTCAATACTTCTGTATGATTTAATGATATGATAGTTATTGTTTATTTAGTAAATATCCGGAAAACTACAAGCTCATCATATTTAAATATATATTGATTTGAGATTTATTTTATGTGGAGTTATCTTTAGATGAATATGAAGAGATAGATTTTTTGAAAAACTCTCGGAAGACCTTATGCTTTGCTTTCCCATTCTTGAATTCTCTATTAATATGTTGCTTGCTCATCGTTTTAGTTAAGTATCGAACATAAGTATAGCCTAATAATTTGTGTTGAAAATTATTTGAATAAAATATGCGAAGATCATTTTTTTATTCAAGATAGCGTAAAACATGTGAAACCCCGTTACAATGTCATTTACTATGAAATGAACTAAATCTTACTAGTAAATTTACTGTAAATCCAAGTCCGATATTCTATAGTATTTCATATACATAAATACACTTATTGTATTGAGATATGATATTTGAGAATCAAAGGTGTGTGCAACGTGATTAGTCTGTGCAAATACCTTGTCCACTCCGAAGCATCCCTCTTCTATAATCAGTATTGATTAGTGGAATCTCTCATGGATTGGTATCTTCCCTATGTAGATTGGTTAATAATTGAACCAGGTCAACAAATACCTTATCTCATTTTTTATTTTGAATTCAGCATTTTACTTGCTGCCAAGGCGTTGTTTTAGCTATGAACTGACCATGCTTCGGGATTTGGCCCTTTGTTGGTGTTCGAAGGATATTTGTTGGATACATCACTTCCCAACAGAAAGTCTTTTTTTTTTTTCAATTTGGATTGGGTTTGATTTTTTTTTTTTTTAGAAATGTAAAATACAAATATAACCTGTATAAAAATCAAGTAAGATTAAGTGACATAATGATCCTTAGGCTATTCAATGAATGCATTTTTTTATTCATATGGAATAACTTTAATACATTATGAGTATAAGTAGTTTGATGAATGAATAATTTATTTTCGACATATTCAAATTGCAAATAAGATAGAACATTGTCATTCTAAAGCTTTTTATCTTAATTATAGGAATAAGAACAATGTTTGAATATATCTTCTTTGTTACATTGAATACATCTTTGCTTGATTGCCCACTTTGTTTGTTTCTATTAGCCTCCTCATAACACCCAACAAACTTTTGTACGAACTTACAAATCTTATTCCTATAATTTTTACA